GAGGGAAAGGGAGTTTTAGAAACAGTAGCAGAAGCTGCAGAATTTACCTAGAGAAAAGGCTCGTGATCCTATCCCAAATGCTAACGACCGTGTCACTAACTTTATCCGAGAAACTGGGGGGGCCGAGCGAGTGGGGGGCGGGGGGCACAGACCAACAAAAAACAGAAAACACAATGGAGAGTCAGTGCAAGGAATCTGAAATTTGTTCCCCCCCTCCAACCATCCCTGCCTAGTGAGTTTCCTAAAAAAAAAACAAAAAACCATTAAAAAAAAAACCAGAAAACAAGGTTTCACACTCCAATAAACACTCAACTAGGACGGATAGTTGAGCGCCGCTACGCTACACCGTCTCCAGTTCTTGGACTGAGGCCAGGATTGTTAGCCTGAATAAACCAGCTTCCCCCAGCAGCAGGCTCCCGTCCTAAGGAAAAGGACCCGTTCCCAAGGAATCAAAACACCCTTCCTCGCTGCTAACGGGGGAGACCCCCAGGTACTCACGAGTCCTTCCTCTCTCGCAGCTGCTCAAACACCAGCAGGCCCCGGGAATTGACGCTCAACACCAGCTCCCGCCCCGCCAGCAAGTCCATGCGAAAGGGCTTCGCCGTCAGGATCACCTTGTGAGTCCCCTCCTCCAGCGACAGCTCCACACTGTTCTCGTCGCGGCCTGTGACAGACAATCTTGGGGGGGGATGCATACACACATACATATATACACACACACACACAGGTGGGATGAGGACAGAGTAGAAATGAAAAGGAGCGACAGATGTTAATTTCATCTGTTAATAGAAGGGTGTTTAAACTAAGTTCAGGGTTTTTCTCAAAGGTTGGCCACTCGCAGGATTTTATTTTATTTTTTAAATTTGTAATGATCTGCATCCCGCCTTTGCTGTTTTTACAAAGAGCTTGAGGTTGTGAACGTATCCAACACAACTTCCTCCTCCTATTTTCCCCACAACCATCACAACGTGAGGTGGGCTGAGCTGAGAGGGACTCACCCAAAGTCGCCCAGCCGGCTTTCAGGCCTAAGGCGGGACTAGAATTCACTGTCTCTCCTGGTGATGGGCCAAAATCACCAGCTGGCTTTCACGCCTAAGGCAGAACTAGAATTCATCGTCCCCTGGTGATTGGCCCAAAGTCACCTAGTCAGCTTTCATGCCTAAGGTGGGACTAGAACTTACTGTCTCCTGGTAATGGGCCAAAATCACCAACTGGGTTTCAGGCCCAAGGCGGAACTAGAATTCACTGTCTCCTGGTGATTGGCTTAAAGTCACCCAGCCGGCTTTCAGGCCTAAGGCGGGACTAGAATTCACTGTCTCCTGGTGATTGGCCCAAAGTCACCTAACTGGCTTTCAGGTCTAAGGCAGAACTAGAACTCACCGTCCCCTGGTGATTGGTCCAAAGTCACCTAGTCAGCTTTCATGCCTAAGGTGGGACTAGAACTCACTGTCTCCTGGTAATGGGCCAAAATCACCAACTGGGTTTCAGGCCCAAGGCGGAACTAGAATTCACTGTCTCCTGGTGATTGGCCCAAAGTCACCCAGCTGGCTTGTAGGCCTAAGGCAGGACTAGAACTCTCCATCTCCTGGTTTCTAGGTCAGCAACTTTCTCACCGTCTCCCGCTTTTTAGCTTAACCGCCAGACCCAGCTGGATCCCTAGGAAACCCAGAAACCAACATCCATCCTCACGAAGTCCGGTGTGATGTGGTGCCAACTCTTTTAGCCAGATTCTACCAGTAAACCTCCTGGCTCTGTGGAAGCCCTAAAGCAGGAGTCTTCCAACTGGGCCCTTTTATGACTTGTGGACTTCAACTCCCAGAATTCCTCAGCCAGCGTGCACGCTGGCTGAGGAATTCTGGGAGTTGAAGTCCACAAGTCATAAAAGGGCCCAGTTGGAAGACCCCTGCCATAAAGACAGTCAACCTCCTCGCCCCCATAACGGCGTCGTTTCTCCCACAGAAGCCCACCCAAAGACCCCTGGTCAACGCAGCCACCCATCCCCATACCTGGAGGTGGGAGGGTCCTGGATTAAGACGTCGTGTACCTCATAGCGGGCTTTGAGGGGCGTCAGTTCGTTGATCCGCAGGCGGGTCATGTTCCCCTTCAGGCCGTAAAACTCCAGGAGGAGAGGAACCTGCGGTGGAGAAGAACAGATTCCCACTGGATCTTCGCCCCTGGTAAATCTAACCCCGGAGCGTGGGCTCCACCAGGGGTCCCTCTTGCCAGCCACAGGGGGACACCGTTCCAAAGAGACCACCGGAAAAGCGAACCAGGATAATAACCAAAGCACCCCCTCGCCAGCAATCCACAGCCAGATGTTATTTACATATGTGTTTATTTACATCAAGGGTTCCCAACTTTTTCTATACCCCGCACCCCGAGAACGCGTCTGATATATTCTTGCACCCCTTGCCAAAGTCCGAAAGAACAGCCACAAATTACACATATAGACTATAATTTTGAAAATTTATCCCCCTGGAATATCGTCTCGCACCCCTGGTTGGGAACCCCTGATTTATATCCTACCGTTACTGCTTTATGAAGAACTCAAGACCGTGAGGCGTGCCCAACAGACCTTCCTCCTCCTATTTTTCCCGGACGGAGAGGGGGGGGGAACTAGCCTAAAGTCGGTTTTCACGGCTAAAGTCCGACTAGAACTCCCAGGCTCCTGGTGATTGGTCCAAAGTCACCCAGCCGGCTTTCGTGCCTAAAGCAGATTTCTATTTTCTAGCCTGGTGCCTTAATCGCTACTAGGAGTGTCCAACCTTGGCATAGTCCTGGGGACTTCAACTCCCAGAATTCCCTAGCCACGATTCTGAGCGTTGAAGCCCAGAAGTCTGCACTAGATCAAACTGGCTCTGGATAAGCAGAGATTAACACCAAGATCAATGCTAAAGCAATAATCAAGCAGTAAACGACAGCTGAATCAAGGAACACTCCCACCAACAATGAGGGCAAATAACTGCATATAAACTGAGAGCAAACCTCATTCCTTATAGCACTGATGGTGTTCCCTAGCTGGGTCATGAAACATCTGCAAAAAAACCTCCAAGCTCAGAGAGCACCAAAGACCCCACAGTCCTCCTCCTCTTCCTCCTCCACCATCACCATCACCATCACCACCTCTGCAACCTCCTCTCCTTTCTGGCACTGATGATGTTCCCTAGCTGGGTCATGAAACGCCTGCCCGGATACAACGAAGCTCAAAGAGCACCACACACACCACGGGGTCTGTTCTTCAACTTTCTAAACTCAAGCCTTTCACCCAGACAGAGAGTCTGACTCTTTCCTGACCTTCTTGGAAGTCCGAGGGATTTAATTTACCTTGTTGGCTTCATTAATAAGCTGGATTTTCATAGAGTCTTGGCTGAGCTGCAGGGATTCCAGCAGCGCCCGGTAAGGGGAACTCCCAGGTTTTACGTTTCTGTGACGCCTGGAGAGGGGAAACCAGGGTTACTGGAGACAGACTAACCACGCTACCTCTTCAGATGTCTCACACTGCCAGCCTTGGTAGAGAAAGGTAATTTATCGCCCACCCCCCAAGAACCCAATCTCCAAGATGGCAGTCCCAGTGCCACGCAGGGACAGAAGGACAATGACGTCGTCCTTCACCACTTCCTTCGGGAACAATGTTGGTGTGTGTCTCCATCTCTTTTCCTTTCGCACAACTTACTTGCAAAACGAACTCTGATCACAGGTCTTGAAGTTGCTTTTGTCGACTGCGGACACCACGACCAGGAGAAGCATCAACCACACGACCGCTGACATCCTAGGTGGAACAGGAAGGACGCGTTTTCAAGCAATGCATGATTAGGAGGTAAAAAATATGAAGAACGGTTGCAGAAATTGGGCATGTCCAGTTTAATGAAAGAAAGGACTGACAGGATAGCCGTGTTCCAATATCTCAGGGGCTGCCCCAAAGAAGAAGGGGTCAAGCTGTTCTCCAAAGCGCCTGAAGGCAGGACAAGAAGCAATGGATGGAAACTAATCAAGGAGAGAAGCAACCTAGAACTAAGGAGAATTTTCCTGACAGTCAGAACAATTAATCAGTGGAACAACCTGCCTCCAGAAGTTGTGGGTGCTCCAACACTGGAAGTTTTTAAAAAGAGACTGGACAGCCATTGGTCTGAAGCGGTATAGGGTTTCCTGCCTGAGTGGGGGGTTGGACTAGATGACCTCCAAGGTCCCTTCCAACACTGGCTAATAAAGAGAAGGCTTAGGGGTGATACAATAGCAGTCTTCCAACCTTTGAGGGGTTGCCCCAAAGAAGAGGGAGTCAATTTATTCTCCAAAGCACGTAAAGGCAGGAGAAGAAGCAACGGATGGAAACGAATCAAGGAGAGAAGCAACCTAGAACTAAGGAGGATTGTGGATTAGAAGCAGCTTCTAGTCCAGTGTTTGTTAACCTTGAACACTTTAGATATGTGGACTTCAGCTCCCAGAATTCCTCTGCCAGCATTCACATTTCTTGAAGCTGTCAAGGTTGACAAACTGTATTCTTGTCCAAAACAGGGGAAAACCATGGTCATAAGGGGCAAAGGGCAAATTGCTGCCCGGGCAAAGCTCAGTTCCTGTCTCCACATATTTTGCAACTACAAGATTTAAGAGACAAGGTAGACAAAGAGGAAAAGGTTTTCTACCTTCAAGCTTGAAAAACACCCAATTTTATAAGACTTTCCCAGAAAACTGCAGATATTCTCCCAAAAGTGCTTTTCCAAAAGGCAACTGCGCTTTCTTGGGGTTTTTTTTCTTCCTTGAAAACATTTCACTTCTTATCCAAGAAGTTTCTTCACTTCTGAGAAAAAAAATCTATCCAATCCATCCTGGCTGAGCGGGAAAGAGAACCTCCATGGCAAGGGGCAGTCTACCAGTAATCCTCAACATACGACCATAATTTATGTTGCTAACTGAGACCTTTGTTAAGTGAGCTTTGCCTCATTTTACGACCTTTCCTGCCATAGTTGACAAGTTAGTAATATGGTTGTTAAGTGAATCTGGCTTGCCCCATTGACTTTGCACGTCAGACAGTCGCAAAAGGGGATCACGTGACCCCGGGACGCTGCGACCGTCATAAATACGAGTCAACTGCCAAATATCTGAATCGTTAATCACGTAACGTTGGGGATGCTGCAACGGTCGTAAATGTGAAAAACGGTCACACGACGCTTTTTTTCAGTGCCGTTGTAACTGAACGGTCACTAAATGAACTGTTATATGTCGAGGACTGCCTTTATCTGTTGCAGGAGGTTTCAGGGCAGGGGATAGAGGCTGCCCTCCTATGGCTTCCTGGGAAATAACAGCATGCTTCGATAGGCAGCCTGGTAACCCCTTTGGGAAGGCAGCTCCCATCATCCTTTCCCAGCTGGGGCTGATGGGAACAAGAGGGAAGGACGTTTTGCAAAGGTCTTGTGACCTTCTCCAAAGCTCTCCAAAAGGCTGAGCAAGGGGAGTCTCCACTGCGTGAATCGTTCCCTCCTTTGCAGCCTTGGCCGTGGCTGGGACTACAAGTCCCATCGTCCCCTTCGGACAAGCAAGCTGGGGGTTGGGGGTGGATCCAAATATTGGGGGAGGGAGGGCTTGGGTGCACTTTTTGGCCAGAAGGGAAGAAAGCCCCCAAAGCGAGGGGGGGCGGCTCAGGATGATGGGTAGTGTAGTGCCCCGACTGGCAAGGTCGGTCTAGCTATAAGGGGCGTTGCAGAAAGGGAAGCCGTGGCGGGGGAAGGGGCGGGGAGGAGGAGGGAAGGAAACGGCCGGTCTCAGAAAGGGGGAAAGCCACACGGGTCCCAGAACACAAGGGGGAAACTGAGGCACGGAGGGGGGGGGAAATTAGGGGAGGGGCGAGGGGGCGCCACAGGTTCAAAGGAGAATGAGGTGGGGATGAAACAGAGGTTATTAAAGACCCCTTTCAGCAAACGCGTCGCCCCCCCCTCAAAAAATAAAAATAAAAAGACCCCGAGCGAGCCTCGCTCTAACCTCCTGGTCGCCTCCGCCTCCGCCATTTTGGATTCTGCCGGAACCCGCCCCCCCTTGCGCCTCACGTAAGCCCCTCCTCCCAGGAGGCGGACCCCCCCATTGGCGCCCTCCTCAACGCCCGCCCCCACGCTCCGCCAATCGTCAAAGCAGACGGCGGTCCGGCGAGCCCCGCCCACACGCCCGCTTGCATTATTCAGGACGGGGCTTCCCATCTTCGGTGGAGAGCGCGGGGGGGGTGCTGGACGGGTCGATTCTTTGGTGGAAAAAAGGGGGGTTTAAAGGAAGAGAAGAGTCGTCCGAGGGCGCTTCCAAGCGACCCGCAAGGGAGAGGGGAGCGCCGCCACCCCCATCATCCCCCGCTGGCTGAGGATGATGGGGGTGGCAGTCCCAAGAGCCCTGCCTGGAAACAAAGGTTTGGCAATGCCCATCCTTGCTTGGTTTGCTCATATATATTTTTTATTAGGTTTTTACAGCACAATAAAAATATTTTTTAAAAAAATTTAAAAAGCTAGGAAATGGGGGAGGAAAACTACAAAATTCTGACTTCCTTCTATTGAGTAACTGACATCTTATTCTTTTCCTTCCGTTTTTAACCCTTTTTTATCCCCCAAATCCGTAAATCATCAGTTCACTCTTTCTTTCTTTCTTTCTTTCTTTCTTTCTTTCTTTCTTTCTTTTTCTTTCTTTCTTTCTTTCTTTCTTTCTTTCTCTCTCTCTCTCTCTCTCTTTCTTTTTCTTCCCAAAGTCTCTGGGAGAGAAAGGAAATGAAGTATTTCCCCACTATTTTAATTATAAACAAAATAAAAAAGAGGGGTGAGCTCCTGCTTTTATTTATTGTATTCAGAATCAACCGAAGGACGAAGATGGGGAATCTCCGATCGATGTTCCTTCAGCTCTGCCCTGTCACCGCCACACTCCCCAGTGATGATGTGGCTGTGTTTACGGAGTGTCATAAACACTCTTTGTGAAGAACTTCCTTATTAAAAAAAATGTCTCTGCTTGGGAGCGATTGTTCCGAAAGAAGACAGGGAAGGCGAAGAGACGCGAGAAAAAAAGAAAAGGAAGGAAGGAAGGACAGGAGGTAGAGGTGGGAGGGGATGAGCGGAAGAGGAGGAGATGAAGAAGAGGAGGATAGGGAAAAGGTAAGGAATAAACAGAGGAAGAGGAGGAGGAAGGAAAGGAGGAGGAGGAGAAAAAGGAATGGAGGGGGAGAAGAAAGGAAGGAGAACAGAGAAGTAAAGAGGGAGAAAGGGGAGGAGAAGGAAAGGAGGAGGAAGAGGAGAAGATGAGGAGAGCACGAGGAGGAGATGAAGATAAGGGGTTGCACTTCAACTGTTTGGGAAGGTAGCTGGCACTTAAGGGAGGACTAAGTAAGGGAAGGTTGGAAATACATGCATTTTGTTTTCTTGTCCTTCGTCTTTTTTCTTCCTTCCAACCTTCCCTTACCAGTTGAAGTGCAAGAACAGGGAGGGAACCCAAAATAAATCTTCCTTCTCACCCCTAAGTTCCTTCCTCTACTTGCACACTTGCCCCAAATCCTCTCATGGGCTTCTCTCCAATTTCCAATCCACAAAAGACCCCCCATCTTCCCTCCGCCCCCCGGCCTCTTCTTAATCCCCCGCAGCAAAGGTCCTCTCCGAACCGCCTCTGAGCCTCTTTAAGGGTGGAACCGTCCCGAAAGCAGACCCAGCCGGTCGATATTCTTATGCAGGACGCTGTGCAGGACGTAGAGGTATTTGCCCGCGTCGGTGTCTCGCGAAAAGTCCCGGAAAAAGAGCTCCGTGTTGGCGTCGAAGCTGAACTTTTGGGGCAAGGGGCTGTTGTCCCGCATGTAGTCCCAGACGCTGAGCAGGAGCAGGTGAACCTCAAAAGGAGCCAGCTGGTCGAAGATCTCGTGCATGTTGCTCAAGACGGGGGGCAGAAGGTGGCCTTGCCCCATGCAGGCCACCAGCGCGCAGGAGGCCTGCAGAGGCCAGGGAGAGCTGGTGGTGTCGTTCTCCCGGGACGCCTCCCAGTGGGCCATGAGCGTGGCCATCAGGCCCCGGAGCAGCACCGAGCAATAGCACAGGGCCGGCCTGCCGACAGCCACCAGCTTCAAGAGCTCGAAAAGCAAAGGGTTGTCTCGGAAGCAGCGTCCTATCCGGATGTCCCGTTCCACGGTGTTGTGAGTGTGTTCCTCAGGAGGCCAGGCCAGCTCGCTGTTGGTCACATCCGGGCACACCATCTCCACCAGCACCACGGCCACCATCTTGGCCGCCTCGGGGCTGATGGTGCTGCCCTGGGACGGCTCGGGGGAGCCAGAGCGCCCCGCCCCGCAGCATCGCAGCAAGAGGCCCAGGAAAACCTGGACGTTATGGGAGATCTCCTCCGGTTCCTGCTGATGGGAAGCCTGGGGCGGTTTCAGGCCTCTCCCGATCACCCCCGCGTGGAACACCGACCAGACGCTGCCGGAGAAGTTGACGGTCGCCATGAAGTGCCGGTTGATGTCCATGAGGGACAACTTGGTCGCCTCCAGCCCGGCGTCGTTCCTGGCGGCGGGGGGCTCCGCCGTTCCGCCGAAAAGCTCAGCGTTGCCCTGGTGCAAGGCTCCTTCCACCAGGTACTGCAAGATGGCCTTGCTGGCTGTGGGCGACGCCCCACTCAGCCCGCAAAGAAGCCGGCTTCCGTAGCTGATGCCGGCCGGAGATTTATCCCGCAAAACCGAGAAAAAATGGTGCACGGCGGACCGGATGAGGAAGAGCAAATGGGCCGGCCGGATGGCCTTGGGCATGGGGCAGACGGAAAGAAGCAAAGCAGCGGCTTGGGCCACCTCTGGATTGCTGTGCAGTAGCAGCTGCCCAAAATCGTAGAGGTGGGAGGACACGGCCCGGCCCAGCTGGTGGCCCATGGAGGCCGGGCTCTCCCCCTCCCACTGCATGATCAAGGCCAGGTTCTGGAAGAGCTGGGCCATGTGCTGCTCGGAGAGAAAGCCTGCGTGGAGCTGGCGCACACACTTCTTCACCAGGGCGGCCAGCAGACCGGTCATGCAAGAGCTGAGGACGGTGTAGAGTTGGGTGGCGAGGCTGAGCTCCTCCTGGCTCTTGGCCAGGGTCAGCAGATAGAAGAGCCCCTCGCTGGCACAGCTGGGCATGGAGTAGACCGAGAGCAGGACCAGCAGCTGGTGCAGCCAGAGAAACCTCTTCCTCTCCAGCTTCAGCGTCTCCCTGCAAAGTTCCTGCATGTGGGTCTTCAGTTCGTCCAGGAACGGCACCACGCGAGGAGGGACCTCCACCAAGCTGGCCGAGCCCCGGTTGTAGACCAGCTTCTGCAGGTTAAGGAGCAGCAGCTGGATGACCCGGTCGCAGGCCTCCCGGACGCTGTCGTGCACCGCCAGGCCCGGGGTGGTGATGACCGAGGCTGGCATGGCAGTGTTGACCAGGAACTGCAAGGTACGGTAGGCTCCGCTGGATGTCTGGCAGATGAGGTGCACCACAATGCTAACCATGTTCTCCAGCTCTTCTCGGGGCAGCGATGCGAAGTGCTGGTGCAGCTGGTTGAGGATGCTGGGCTTGAGAGAGTCCACCAGTTCGGCAGAGATGGTGCTCAGCAACGTGGGGGACATGACCGCCAGCTGCAGCAAGAAAGGGACGGTGGCCTTCTGCTGCTGGTCCCGGGTGGGCCCCAGGCTCCTGTGGAACATCCTCAGCAACTCCTGCTTGATGCTTTCCGAGTGGCGAGAGGCCAAGTGGCCCAGGATCCCGACCACCGAGGCGATCTTGGGAACTCGTTTGTCGGCTGCTGCGGAGCTGGGAAAAAGGAGGAGATCCGTTGAAGCTGTCCCGTGCACACAAAAGTCCTTCAACCCGCAGGAGAGGACCCGGTTGATGATGGTGTTGGGGAAGGAGGAACCGATATGGGCCACCACCCAATCGAAGTGAGGCGAGTGCTGGACGGAAGTGTCTAAGAGAGCATCCACGCAAGCATCTGGACAGGTGTTGATCATGGAGGACAGGCACTGGGTGTAAATCTCCATCAAGACCCGGGTGGCTTTGCAGGACATCCATAGCTGCAGCAACTCATTCAGGCTGCTCGCGTGGGGTACGTCATGCCGCCCGGCGTATTTGCTACTCAGCTGCCCCATCAGATCAATCGACCAGGAGGAAACCAGGGCAGCCCAAGCTTTGGGATTCATGCGGACAAACTCCGACAACACGGCTTGGATCTCCGACACCACGTCATCCAAGTTGGGGCCCTGGGAGCGGAGGCCTCCCATCCCACCGTCGCGGGTCTCCAGTTCCAGCAGGTAGGTGCAGACGTATTCATCAAAGACACTACGGAGGTGTTCCAGGACAGCGCTGCGAGCTGGAGGCAAATTGCGCAACAGTAAAATGGCACAACGAGCGTGTTCCTTGATGGTGAGTTTGTTCCCATGAATGGGGTCGACCCCACTGAGGAAAGCTTTGATCTCCTGGGCCAATTCTTGGGAACTGGAGGAGAAAGAAGAAAAGTGAAGTCGGGTTTAGAGCAAAGGAGAGGATTCAAAGAGAACCTAAGAAAAATCATGGGTGGGAAATGTATATGTCATGCCACCGAGATTAGGTCTTTAAAAAAAACCTGATCTTGTTCAATGCCAAATACCAATTAAAAACAATGTCTGTATGTACCCAGGAGAGATATACAATTATAGAAACCATCCCCTTCTAATTTATAAAATGAATATGTCAGTCATGTTTATCGTTTGTTTTTCTTCTGTTCAATCATGTCGGATTCTCAGAGACTGCCTGGAGAAGTTCCTGCAGTTTTCTTGGAAAGATTTTCAGAAGTGATTTCCCATGGGCTACTTCCTAGGGCTGAGAGAAAGGACTGGCCCAAGATCACCCAACTGGCTTCATATCCATGGGCAGAACTAGAACTCACGGTCTCCCAGTTTCTAGCTTGACGTCTTCACCACTACACCAAACTGGCTCTCATCCTCCTTTAAAAAAAAAGGTAAAGCTAGACATTTATTGGCCATCATCGTCACCATCATCAGGAAACTCTGAAATCTAGGCATTTATTGTCCATCATCCTCTTTATCCTCATTTTTTAAAAAACCCACCATTTATTGATCATCATCTTCATCCTGATTTCAAAAAACCCGAAAACATTTATGGATCATAGTCATATCCTCAATTGATCACTTCATCCTGATTTTTAAAAAATCATTTATGAATCATGTCCTCATTTTAAAAAAAACCTAGCCTTTATGATCAACAACTTCATCCTCTTTAAAAAAAAATAACATTTGCTGATATTTTTTTAAAAAAGGAGCATTTACTGATCATCATCTTCACCCTCATTTTAAAGAAACCTAACACGTATTGATCGTTTTAAAAGGCCAGCCTTTATTGATCAACATATTTAAAAAAACCTAGTATTTACTGTCCATTCAACACCATCCTCATTTTAAAAAGCTAATTGCAAGCGTTAATTAACCCTCCTCCCCCCCCTTCCTCCTCGGCTGCCCTCTTGAAGGAAGGGCTGGCAAACTCTTCGGGGCAGAGATTTTGCACCCATTTTACACCTTTGCAAATGCCAGAGATCACCATGGCAACCCTGAACGGTTGGGGGCGATGCACCCCTTGGAAAGGGCCGCCCCGGGGATGGTTTCCGAAGCCTCCTTCCTTCCCCCCCCCCAACTACCTGAGGGACGGAGGCGCGGCGGCTGGTTTGGGGCTCGGGGCGGACCCCGGAGGCCCCACCACCCCCGCCGGATCGCACAGAGCGGACATGCAGATCCCGGCCGAGACGCTTAGAAACGACTAAAAGCCCCGTTTCCCCCTTGTTTTCCTCTTTTGCGCCTGCGCACGCTAGGCCCGAGGATGGGGGAAGAATAAAAACGACGGACCGAGAGCGTCACTTGGCAAAGAATCCCACCCGGCTCTTCGACTCTGAAACAAGCGTTCCGCACAGCTCGAACTGGATCTCTATTCAGAACTGATTGTTCCGTTTGGATGTTATAATACCTATTATTATACAGACTCGGCCCAGTCCCTGTGGTTTATTAATCAATGTTTAATAACTTCATATTCAAAGTATATTCAATTATTCTGCTTCGATGTTGGGCAGCTTCAGTTCAATGTAACCATTTGAACCAATATATCGACTCAGTCCAGTCCCTGTGGCTTATTAATCATGGTTAATAACTTCATATTCATAACTTCATATTCAAAACGCATTCCACTGTTCTGCTTGGATGTTGGGCAGCTTCGGTTCAATGTAACAATTAAGATAATCTTTATTGTCCTTTTTTACTGTAAACACATTGGAACAGATAAAAAATGAAATATTTGTTGCCTGCTCTCAAAAGAAAGTATATATCTACCCATACACATACATACTATATACATGTGATAACCTGGAGCAGTCACTATGGTTTTCTGGACATTTTCATGAATTTTCTCCTTATTTGCTTCTTAGAAGGAGAGAGATTGGTTTTCTGCTTGAGGCTGTCTCCTGGTGGATTGGTTTCTAGGTTGATGCTTTTAACCAGTAAATCAAACTAGCTCCCATTTCATAGTTTAACTGTGTTTAGACAATAGCCACTATCAAATTCACCATGCCTTAGCACAATGTACCAACTAGCCATATTCTTCCCTTCTTCCTCACAAACACACACACACACAAATTACTAAAGCAAGATAAGTTTTTTCTCAGTTTATTATACGGATCAGAACACAGACAATTTGAACACGTGAAAGCAGAAATCTCCACCTGTGCACTTTCCTTTCAACTGAAATTGGTTGCCAACACTGAAAAAAGTTGGTGTCTCACATATATGCGGATTAATTATACACATGCACAGTATTTGTGGCATAATCTGGCACGGCCACTGAAATTCTTACACTACTCCACACTCTACATATAAAGCTTGTCTCTTATCAAGTACCCCTTTTAAGGTACAACTTCAGACTAGCCAAACTTTAAATTATTTTGTAACTCCTCAAATTCAGGAATTGGGAGTTGCTCGCCAAAGGGAAAAGGGAACAGACACACCTCTCAACCTGTGGTCGGATGGGTTTAAATTCCTTTTAAAAGTAAACAAACTTTATGGAGCTAAACTAGTTCAAAAGCTGATTTTTCTAGCTTTTGGTAACCTGTCTTTTTCTCCTCTCCCCCCCAGCCCCCCCCCCCGGGAATGCTGTCATTGGTAGGCTGGAAAACAGAAAAGAAACTTGGTTTCAAGATTTCAGAAGCCAGGTTCAGCTTTCCAATCCAGGTGTCACGGCAGGTTCCACCATGTCAACATCTGGACAGTCTGATGGAGTTATCTCCTTTTTCTTCTTCTTCTTCCTTTTTCCACTCTGAGCTGGAGAAACATCAACTGTACAAAAGGAAAGATGGAAACAGTGAAAAGTCACCACATGCTCAAAGTCATAAAGCTGCACTCTCTTGCATGTCTCTGGTCCAATTTCCAGCAAGTGGTCATCTACAGACAATCCTCAATTTACAACCCCAGTTCTGAATCTTGGCTAGTTAGCAATGCGGTCCTTAAATGAGTCATATGGCCATAAAGCAAATCCACGTTCCCCTACAGACTTTGCCAGAAGTTGGCTGGGAAGATGGCAAATCACAATGACACGAACAGAGGACATTGCATTATAAGTGTGAGACGGTTACCAAGCACCTAAATTTCAATCACGTGTACCATGGAGCTGTTGTGACAGTTGTAAATTTGAGGATCAGTCGCAAGTCACTTTTTTCAGCACTGTCATAACCTTGAACCATAATTAAACAAGTAGTTGTAAATCGAGGACCATCTGCAGTTTTCATTGGTTGGAAATATTAGGATGGATGACGATCTTGGAAGATCTTTCTAACCCTACAATTCTAATGATCTAAGGACGGAATAACTGGGGGACAAAGCTGAAATTGTATTCTTAAAAAAAACAGCAGTTCCTGCTTCTTAATAAACCAGCTAAGAGGGTGGATAACCTTAGAATTTGTTCTCGGCTACCCCATCCTTTTTTGTTTATTCTTCCTTATTTCTCTATTGCTTTATTAGCCAATTCTCCTCCATCTACCTCACCTTTATAAACTCCAGGATCAGAGAAGGGAATTTTTTTCTGTTACTGCATCTGGTACTACTTTACTATTGCAAGAAAAAAAAGGAAGTATAACCAAATAAAAAAATCCTTGGAAATGCTTTAAAGGCAACAATTAGGCATTGATCAGAAGAGAGAAGAACAGGAACTCAAATCTCCTATGCCGCTCCCTCTGAGTGTGGAACGCTTCTGTCTTCCACCTTCTATAAATGATGCAAGTCCAAATTACTTTCCCCCCCCCCCCCAACTAGAGGGAAGAGGATTTACCCTGCATTTCTGCTTTTTCCTTAGTGGCATGACGCAGTTGTTTAAGCAATTTTCTTTTCTTCTTCCCCGAGAGAGTAATGTTTGCCCGTGAACTAGATCTGGAAAAGAAGAAGGAAATTACACACAGAGAAGAAATGTTTTAAGGTCAACTCGTTAATTTAGAAAAACCAAATTGGTCTTGTAAAATCTAAATCAGTGTTCCTTAACCTCCGCAACTTTAGAGGGTAGACTTCGATTCCCAGAATTCCCCAGCAAGCATGCTTTAAAATGGGAAGACGTTGATTCCCTGAATTCCCCACCCAGCCTATTTTGAGAGGGATGGACTTCAATCCCCAGAATTCCCCTTCCAGCATGCTTTAAGAGGGATGGACTTCAACTCACCAAGTCAGAAAGACAACTTGAGATTTTTTTATTACAGCATTTAATTGGCTTGCACATTTTCTTTCCCCAGAGACAAATAACCAATCAAAGCAAACACGACTCACGATCGCTTTTTCAGGTGATGAACGGTGATAAGATCTTCATCCACCACAGCTCCCACAATCCGGTGTTTCTTTCTCTTCTCCTTGCTCAGGACACGCCGCCTTTTGAAGAGTTTTTTCCGCAGCTCCTGACACAAGAGAACGAAAATTTTTTACAAGAAGTTGCTGCCACACACACAAACACACAAAAATCTGCAGGAAAATGGCAGCTGGGCATAATTAATTAAACCCCTGATTTAACTGAGTTTAAACATGCTTGGAATAAACACCTACATCATCCAATATATATACACATATACATCTAAAATTATTTTAAAAATGCGAGTCCCGGGTATATTCATAATAGAAAAATTACTAAAAACGTTGATTTCCGAGACTAAAAAATTTATTAAAAACTAAGCTTTCATCAGCAGCTGCTGACGTTAATCCTGGCTTATACTTTGACAACGTCAGCACCTGCTGACGAAACTTTAGTTTTTAATAAAGTTTTTACTCTCGAAGATCAACGTTTTTAGTAGTTTTTCTATTGCACATATACATATACGAGGGCAATTCCTAACTTTTTTGTCACTACCTCGTACAAAACAGTCCGAGAAATTTGGGGAAAGTGTAAAGAAAGTGCAGATATCGTGAACCGACAGACTTGACGGAGCTTTTTGTTAATTTCCTGCACGAGTTCATTGCTGACTACAGATGGGCAGCTACTTCTAGCTAGAGACCGAGAGATTAGACAAATGAGAGAGGCAATGATAGAGATAGATAGATGGATGGATGGATGGCTATAGATAGATGATGGAGATACTGTAGAAAATATATATGATAGAGATCTGTAGAATAGATAGATAATATTCATAGGATAGATATAGTGTAGAAAATATAGATAGATTATATAGAAATACTGTAGAAAATATATAGATATTGTAAAAAATATAGTTATAGATAATAGATAAGATAGAGGTAGAAATAGATAGATAGATAGATAGATAGATAGATAGATAGATAGATAGATAGATAGATAGATAGATAGATAGATAGATAGATAGATAGATTCATATGACAGATAGACAGACAGACAGACAGACCGAGATAATAGAAAGATGATAGATGATTGGTAAATAAATAGGTAGATGATAGATAGATAGATAGATAGATAGATAGATAGATAGATAGATAGATAGATAGATAGATAGATAGATAGATAGATAGATAGATTCAAATGACAGATAGGCAGACAGACCGAGATAATAGAAAGATGATAGATGATTGGTAAATAAATAGGTAGGTAGGTAGGTAGGTAGATTCATATGACAGATAGACAGACAGACAGACCGAGATAATAGAAAGATGATAGATGATTGGTAAATAAATAGGTAGATAGGTAGATAGATAGATAGATAGATAGATAGATAGATAGAGATAGATAGATTCATATGACAGATAGACAGACAGACAGACAGACCGAGATAATAGAAAGATGATAGATGATTGGTAAATAAATAGGTAGGTAGGTAGGTAGGTAGACAGACAGACAGACAGAAATAGATAGATAGATAGATAGATAGATAAATAGATAAATAGATAAATAGATAAATAGATAAATAGATAAATAGATAAATAGATAAATAGATAAATAGATGGATGGAAAGACCCTGATCTAAGCTCCTTAACAAATAAGCACTTTATTTCTTTATTTTTTAAAAAATATCCTAGAATTACCGTCCGCGGCCGGTTGATCTTCCCAGAAGGAGCAACCATTCTGAAAACCACGTGGCCGATTTCTTGAGCGCAGGTTTTAATTTCCGGGTAGGCGCCGCGGATCACGTGACACAGACGCCTTTTCCCCCCCCTTTCTCCCCACGTGGTTTGCTTCCTCATCCTGATTAGTCCAAAGAAGCGACCAATCAGAAAGGGACGTGTGGTTAGCTCCTCCCTTACGTGCCTGTCTCCGTTTTTTATGAATCGGCCACGAGGCGCCGTCGCTTTCTTTTTCGACTTTCTCCTTTCTGCAAAAGCGAGGTAGGTTTCCTTTCTTTTTTTTTATGCCTCCCCAAAGGGATCGAGTGGATCCCTAGTCCGTGCTTCTCTTTTGATTCAAGAGAAGAGCTTGATTTTGTTTTGCCCTGGAGAGAACTCGGTTTTTTTTCGTTTTTATTAATATTTTCTCTCTTTTCCCCCCTTCCTTCCTTTCTCTCTTTTCTTTCTTTTCCTTCCGTCCTTTCCCTTCCTCTTTCATTCTCTTCCTTCGTTTTGCTTTCTTTTCCTTCACTTTCCCTTCCTGTCTTTTCTTTCTTTTTCTTCCATCCTTTCCCTTTCATTCTCTTCCTTTTTTCCACTTTCTTTCCCTTCCTTTTATTCTTTCTCTTCGTTTTCTTTTCCTTTCCCTCCTTTTAGTTCACTCCCTTTTTTCTTCCCTTTCCTTAATTCTTTCTCTTCCGTTTCCTTTCCCTCTCTTCTCCTTTTCGTTCATTCTCTTTCCCTTTTTTCTTTCCCTTCCTTTCCTTTCCCATTCTTTCTCTTCCTTTTATACAGATCTCGCTTCCCAGCAGAGCAAGAAACAGAAAAAGATGGAGAAGGGCGTCCTTAATGCCCCCCCTTCCCGAAAAAGTCAGGAGCCACGTGTGTGTGGGGGGGGGAGAAATGCAACGCCGCGATCGGAGATGGTGGGAAGCCACGTGGAGGTTGGAGGAAGGCTGAGCCGCAGATCCCCGACACACCCTAGGATGGCAGTAGATCTCAAAAAGATCCCGGAGTGATGATTCTTCGCTAGCCGGTTGCGTGGGAGCTGCAAGCAAACTGGATCCTTAAAAGCTCTTTGCAGGGATGCTGCGCTGTAGGAGACGAAGGTCCAGGAAGAACAACAGGTGAGGGAGGATCACTCTTATCCCGACATTTGCTCCAAGATAGGGAGGGAAGGGGATCCACTGTCTCTCTGCAGAAGATCCCCCAGTAGGGATCTTCCTGCAGGAAAACTTAGGGGTGGCACTCTCTTAAATCCCACACCCACGCAGGATCCTTTTTGCTCTCTCCTAAAACGTGGTTCCTATTTCTTTTTTTTTATTATTGAAAATTTTATAAAATTTTACAATAAAAATCCCCCCCTTCCCCGAACCCACCCTTCCACTCCCCCCTCCCTCCCCCCTCACTTCCCAGAGCCAATCACAGGGTTAACAATAAAATAATCATACTCTATCTAACATTACTCAACTATTAAAATAACGTATCTATAATCTCCTTGAACTCTCTTTAAGCAAATATACAATTATTAAGAACAATAATAATAACATCACTTTAATAATTAAAAATAATACTAAGTAAACTATTCTAACCTTTATACAACAACAACATTCTAAAATTCACTCAAAAACCAAATGATATTTTTTGGTCCCATATTTACGCTCAATATAATCTATCCATCTCCAAACCAAAATAATATATCTTTCTTGTGAATATTCACAGGTTCCTATTTCTTAACAAGCCTGGGGGAGCCATGCCTCCCATCCTCCACTGCCCTGGCTGTGGACGATGGGAGGCACAAGCTAAAACATTAAAAGCCCACTGGGTGGTAGAAATTGGACTGGTGTTTTTTTTCCTTCCTCCCTCCCTCCCTCCCTTCCTTCCTTCCTGAAAAATCAAAGCCTCCCTTTCTTGGCAGGATCGGATGTCCCTGTATCCGTTTCTGTAATGTGCGGAGGTAAAACGTACTGACCTGTGTTATGTCTTCGGTGCCAGCGGCTTTTCCATCTGCTGGTTCTATCCTCAAGCGCAGGGACACATTTGGCTAATTCCCCATTACTGTGCAGGTAGTCCTCGGCCACGACTGAGCCCCCGTGTCTGAATTTTGATCACGAAGATGCTGCAGCGGTTGTGTGAAAAATGGCCACAGGTCCCTTTTTCCCGTTGCCCTTGTGACTTCAAATGCTCACTAGTTGTGAGTCAAGGATTGCCTTTAATGCAAACTTTATCCAGACCTTTTGAGTTTATTCCATTTCTACACCACCCATCTCCCTTAAGGGATTCTGGGCGATTTACAGCCACATAATAAAACACTTGCAAAGCCATGAACAGAAGGACCAGTTAAAAACAGTTAAGAAAGAGTGAAAATTTACAAGTAAAAAAATTTAATTTGGATAATCAGCACACTAAGTTTGGGAAAATGAGTTCATGTAAGCTATTAGGTTACAAAGGGGTGAGAGATCTGGGGCGGTTGCATGCATGGGTAGAAAATGTGGTGTCGCCATTATTTTGCTAATTTAATTTTCCTGACTCTTCTTTTTTTGACAAGGGTTTGGACCAGATTGACATGTAACCAAGAAAAATGAATTCCATCAAATAAAATGAAAAAGACACCCAGGACTGACTTCAAAAGACTGTCGGAAAAATATCTCCAGTGAATTAATTTGATGTATTTCTTTGCCAGTTCCTATATGTACTTTTCGAGTTAAAGCTGTTACCAATAATGTACATTTTTCTTTCTCTTTTTTTAAAAAAAGGTGATAAGCCATTTTTAAAAAGATCAGTAAATCTGATCTTTACTGATTTACTGATCTTTTTAAAAATGGCATCCTACAGCATTTAAATTTGACATCTACTGATGGTTGAATATAATTTGAGAATCAAAGTTTTTCTGGTGTATAACCCTGATTCACAGTTTAAATTAAAGCCCAGTTTAATCTAGTTAAATTATAATTCCTAAATTGAGGCAGCTTCAGTTTCCTTTTATGTGGATTGTTTTCTGTTATGGGCAAATACTTCCCCCCCCCCTTTTGTTTCTGTATAATAAATTGCATTTGAAAAGCTCGAGTTTCTGCTGGATAAATTACAACACATTTAAACTGCTGTTTCAGTGGCTGGGTTTTCTGGACAGCAAACATAAAAACTGTAGCGAGTAAATTAGCAGCTTGGCGCATAATGGAAGGGGTTTTTTTGTTTACTTACACGCAAAGCACTAATTTTGGTTTATTATTTGGACAATACAGCTGCCATCTCGGAATAAAGCCAGCAGCTTTTAACACTCCGTGGATATTACAGTTGAGAAAAGAAAATTAATTTATTCATATCCTGCCTTTATTTTTACAAATAACTCGGGGGGGGGGGGTAAACGCATCCGATACACCTTCCTATTTTCCCCCCACAATAACCTTGTGAGCTGGACTGGACTGGGAGAGAGGAATGGCTCCACATCACCTAGCCAGCTTTCACAGCTAAGATGGGACTAGAACTCGCCGTCTCCTGGTGATCGGCCCAAAGTCACCCAGCCGGCTTTCATGCCTAAGGCAGCACTAGAACTCACCACCTCCCACTTACTAGTTTGATACCTTAATACAGTGGTTCTCAACCTGTGGGTTGGGACCCCATTTGGGGTCGATCGACCATTTCACGGGGGTCGCCAAGCAAGGCTGTCTGCCATTTTTTTTGTCCGCCATTTTTTTCCTTTTCCAGCGGGTGCCTTACCTCCCTTGAGCTGGGCCAGCTGGTGGTCGGCCTGCTCCGTCTCTGCCGCTTGCCAGCTACGCCTCGGCAGGCACAGGGGGCGGAACCACGCATGCGCGACGCTCCCGGGCAGGGAAAGTCCTCGACTTACAACCGGTTTAGTCCTCGACTTACAACCGGTTGGGGTCGCGGCATTAAAAAGGTTGAGAACCACTGCCTTAATACATGGGTGTCAAACTCAATAGCATCACATCACGAATCCTGATGTTTTTTGCCTTTGTGGGGCTGGGGTGCACATGCATCCGGCCCACAGGCTGCCAGTTTAACACCCCTGCCTTAAATTATATGACCAAACTGACTCTTAATGCAGTTCAAGTAGTCCTCAACTTACAACCACATTTGAATCCAACATCTGGAACATTGGAATAGATGACAAATTAACCTGGCGTATTTCCCAGGACCTTTCCTTCTTCCTCCCTCCCTCCCTCCTTCTGTCCTTCCTTCCCTTCCTCTCCTTCCTTTCTTTTTCTTTTCTTGTCTCCTTCCTTCCCTCCCTCCCTCTTTCCTTCTTTGTCTTTGTTCCTTCCCTTCCTTTTTTCTTTGTTGTCTCTTCCCTTCCTCTTTCCTTCTTTCTTGTCTCCCTCCTTTTTCTTTCTTTCTTTCTTTCTTTCTTTCTTTCTTTCTTTCTTTCTTTCTTTCTTTCTTTCTTTTTCTTTCTTATCTCCTTCCTGCTTTCTCTTCCCTGCTGCAAACACTCCCTCCGTAATTCAGGACCCCACTGAGCCAGGAAGGTGGCATGGATGTTCGGGCCTGAATTGCCCTTGTGGTGCTCAACTGCAGCTGCCAAGGGGGGGGGGAGGACATCTGTGCCCATCAGGCTGGGCTGGCGGGTCGTGTCTGGGAGATGCCGCAGCAGAGCTGGGTAGGAAGCAGCCCAGCCCCCCCCCCAGCCCATCTCCGCTCTCCAGGCCCGTTGTGCAGGCGGAGAAGGGGGGGTGCCAGTGCCCCCCTCGGCCAGCTGAGGAATGACAGGGGAGGAGAGTGACAGAGAGGGTGACTCACCCTATGCAAATGATCCACCAACGGCCGCCGGGACAGCCAGGTGGCATGATGGGAAACACTCAGTGGGGAGAGAACCCCCCATTTTCACCCCCAAATCGGCCCACAGGAAATGCCGTTGCAGTCCAGCCCAGGCATAGAGCCGGGCAGAATCGATCCACTGATCTGAAACTAGGATCTCTCTGCAACCCAGTCGTGCTCCCCGTAAACTGGAGGATCCCCTGCACGGGAGTCTCGGGCCCCGTCCGCCTGTCTCAGGTATCGCTTCTCGGCGAAAACCGATTCTAGTTCACATCATAGACAAGAATAGTCAAATTATAGACTATACAGGAGATAAACTCCTGATGTATAATTTACCTAAAAACCTTGACCCTCTACCTTATCCCCGAACGAGGCAGGTGAGGTTCGTAGCCGGACCATAAGCAGTGCCTCCAGGAACGGTGCACCTCCCCCTGGGAGGAATCTCATGGGTCAAAAATAGATCTTGGAAAAGAAACTCCTTGCAGAGGGATCCTCAGAGGGATCCTTTGCTCAGGGATCTGCTCACAACCTCCCTCTAACCAAGGTGATGGCCTGCTTGCCACCATCTGCACAAAGAGAGATGGACGGGGAGCCAGTTGCTGTGATGGGTGGTAAATGCTTAAATAGATCAGAAAAGGATCCAGTTTCAGGGTAGGAAGGGCTGCTAAATTGAGAAGTGCGCTAAAAAGGCTTTCTGCCTAATAAGATCATAAAAAGATCCAGTTTCAGGCTAGGAGGAGGTGCTCAATTGATTGGGTTAAAAACACTTTCAATGCCTAATAAGGATCCAGTTTCAGGGTAGGAAGGGCTGCTAAATTGAGGAGTGGGTTAAAAAGGCTTTAAAAATGCCTAATAAGATCAGAAAAGGATCCAGTCTTAGCCCAGGAAGGGGTGTTAAACTGAAATGCTGGATAAAAAGGCTTTAAATATGCAATTAAATCATGAAAGGATCCAGGCTCAGACCACAAAGAAGTGGTTAGTTTTTGAGGAGTGGGATTGAAAAGGCTTCAGATGCTGAACCAATCGTGAAAGGATCCAGTCTTAGGCCACAAAGGGGTTGTTTAGTTCTTAGAACATAGAATAAATAAAAGGGCTGGAAAAGACCCCGGAGGTCTTAACTCAAAAGCAATTAAAGCACTCCTCTTAATTGAGGCGTGTTTAAACTGGATCCTTTTATGATTTGCTACACATTAAAAACCTTTTTTAACCCACTCCTCCTAATTGAGGAGTAGGTTAAAAAGGCTTTTAACGTGTAGTCAATCATAAAAGGATCCAGTCTGAGGTCAGGAAGGGGTGCTAAATGGAGGAGAGGCTTATTAAAAAGGCTTTCAATGTGTAATCAATCACAAAAGGATTCAGGCTCAGACCACAAACGGGTGCTTAGATTTGAGAGATCTCATGGGTTTAAAAAGCAGATGGAATGAAATACAGGAGGGGGGGGGGAACCCTGGAAGAAAGCATGCGACTGCCCAGATCCCTTTATGATCCCTTTAAGGCAGTTTTTGGAGCTGGCGTGTCCATAAAAATCATGCATGAGAGGACTGCAAAGCCTCTACCCCCCCCATAACCGCCACGCCAGGGCTAAAAGGAGCATTTGCAGACAACCTGACGCCCTTCTAGCCCTGAACATGTTACCTAGTCGGGTTGCAAAACGTCTGCAAGGAAACAAAAAAGCTCAGAGGCCACTAAGGACCCCTCATTTTAAGGTTTTACATTGGGTTTTTTTTTGCGAAGTTGTCAGCCACCCAGGGTCACCCAAACAGTGAGACCGGCGATATATACATTTAATCAATAAATTAAAAAACCCGAAATAGGACTATTAAAAAAGTTGATTTGCCCAACGTAGAAAGGGAAGGAGGAACTGAAAAAGGAGTCCACCCGAACAGAGAACGGGAAAATGTTTAATGACGGAAAAAGGGGCTTACACAGACATGCGGTTCCAGCAAAAGACAACAGGGAGACCAGTGGATCTTCAGCGATGCTCCCAACTAATTAGGGATCCTGCAAATGGTCACTCTTTCCCGTAAAACAGCAGCCTGCCAACCTTTCCTTGTGAGGACGGATCAGGGAGAACACCGGAAGAACAGAAATGAACCTTCAGTTCAGGAGTCCTGGAGAAGAGAGACAAAGGCAAGGTTAAAAATGGCTCTGTGGCTCCTTGCAAGCCCAAAACGGTTGTTTGGTGATAAGCCCATCGAAATTTGGGATGCTCGGCAACTGGCATGGACTTATGACGGCTGCAGTGTCCCGGGGTCACGTGATCTCCTTTCCCAGCCTTCTGACAAGCAAAGCCAATGGGAAAGCCCGTTTCATTTAACAACCATGTGACTGACTTAACAAACGGCAGCGGTTCAACTGTGAAAAGGAAGGTCCTAAAATGGGGGGGGGGGGAAGCTCACTTAACCGTCTTGCTTAGCAAACAGAAATGTTGGCCTCACTTGCGATCGTAAGTCGAGGATTACCTGTTCTGTCCATTTCCCCCCCCCCTTTTTTTTTTCAAAAGAAGGGTGCCCAAATCGGAGCATATTTTAACCACATGGCAAGCAATTCAAAACACGTACCCAAGTAGTCGTCCATCAGGGATCCAATGGCAAACTGCAAAAAAAAAAAAAAGAGGAAGAAAGGAAAAAAGGGAGGGAGGGAAGGGAAGAAAGAAAAAAAGAAAGAAGGAAGGAAGGAAGAAGGGAATGAGAAGAAGGAAGAGGGAGGGAGGGAGGGAGGGAGGAAGGAAAGAAGGAAGGAAGGAAGGAAGGAAGGAAGGAAGGAAGGAAGGAAGGAAGGTTAAAACTGTTAAAGTGGCCCCATATTATCCCCAATTTCCAGAACAGGAATTCTGTCCCCCTCTCTCATGGAAGACCCCAAATTTTTACATGCAAAAAGGAGTCCGCCTAAACTCAGACCCTTCTCTCAAAATAAAGTTTCCAGTCCTCTTGATTGAAAGTACAAGACACTGATTCTTGCCACACTGACTTTACTTCAGCCATGTCCTCGTGAAAACTGGGAAAATCAATTTTTTTTTTTCTGGGCGAAATGGGCAGTGTAGAAATTTGATAAACAAATTCAATAAAATAATTGTCCAAAACATTTGCCGCTGATCTACGCTCAGCTGCGGATTCAGCAAACACAAGGGCCAGAATCTAACCGGTGTAGAAAACAGCCTGAACCTCACAGCGCCAAAACGAAATCAAAAATTGGAAGAGGATTTTTCCGCTCTTCAATTTCTCCTTTCCTCCTTCATTTTTAACCCAGATCATACAGAGAAAGTAATAACATTGGCCCAAACTCCGCGTTTTCTCTGCAAATTTTCCCCAGCAGATGTTATGTTATTTAATTCTCTATCTGTATAGGATATGGAGGAGGATGAATGAACAGGAGGGACCCTGAACAGCCCAAATAAGATCGAGAAAGGGCCAACGTTCAAACGATACAACTCACTATATCGTTCTTGTCCACCCGGGTCCCCACAATCTTTAATCGGATATTATCTTCTGGCTGGATAACAATGTCCTGGTTTGGGAGTAAAAAAAAAAGCAGAGGGAACATCACGAAGAGAATAAGAATTAATGTGATGCAGTGGTTAAGACTGTGTTTCCCAAACACACTTTAAGATGGGTGGACTTCAACTCCCAGAATCCCCTAGCTAGCACGCTCTAAGATTTCTGGATTTCAATTCCCAGAATTCCCCAGCCAGCATGCTTTGAGATGGGTGGACTTCAACTCCCAGAATTCCCCAGCCAGCATGCTTTAAGATGGGTGGATTTCAACTCCCAGAATTCCCCAGCCAGCAATCTTGAAGGTGGGTGGACTTCAACTCCCAAAATTCCCTAGCCAGAATGCTTTAAGACGGACTTCAACTCCCAGAATTCCCCAATCACACCCCAACCAGCCTGCTTTAAGGAAGGAAACAGACTCACCTCATCCACAGTCTTGTAGCAGGGTGGATTCGAGTTAGTATCGTACTCCATTTCTGAAGGAATCGACTGCGGAGAGAACCGAGATCTAGGATCAACTGCTGGGCAGGGATCCTTCCCTTCCCTGGCCCGTTCCACATGGAACCATCCACCCTGCTACCCTCCTCCCAGTCCACTCACATGTCGGGATATGAAACAAGACATCGGTCCGATCTCGGTGAAGAGGCCAACCTAGGTTGGGTTGCAGAAGCCAGAAATTAAAATAGGGATTTTTTTCAAGGTTTCTGGGGGGGAAAAATTCTCTTTAAGTCTCAGAAGGTGCGCTGGGCCTTACCTTGTTCACCTGAGTGACAATGGCGTCCACCACTTCGCCCTTGAACGGGCGGAAGACAATCGCCTTGTACTTGACCGGGTAAAGGACAAAGCCGCGTCCCGGCTGAATCACGCCAGCTCCGATATTGTCGATGGTGGTTACGGCGATGACGAAGCCATACCTGGAAGTGAGAGGTGAATCCTGACATTAAAGCTAATTCTCTTTCGGGGGGGGGTACTTAATACCGACCGAAGGAAAGGGGGGGGGAGGGGTGGGCTCTAGAAGTCTATTCCTTTCCGCCAAACCACGTCACCAATTTTGTGGTCCGATTTTTGGTCCTCTGCCACTCAAGATCAGGGTGAAATCCGTACTTTCGGTCGATCCACTGAAACTCGGTTAGTGACCCTATGCCACTCAAGATCAGGCGCCTTAGGCATAAAAGCCGGCTGGGTGACTTTGAGCCAATCACCAGGAGACGGTGAGTTCTAGTCCTGCTTTAGGCATGGATACTGACTGGGTGACTTTGTCCATTACACTCTCTCTCTCCCTCCCTTAGGCAGTATAAAACTCTAATAAACATCAAACAGATTGCTAATTTTGTGGATAGCAATTCAGACAATACATTGCTGTGTTTTATGGATAGAGCTGTTTTATTATTATTATTTTTATGCAACTCGTTACTGGTACAGGAGACCAAGCCTCCCCCCCCCCCCCCCGAAATGGACCTTCATTCCTTCTTTCTTACTTGCCGGTGCAGGTCCCTTCCACCTCGGTGAAAAGCTTTTGCTTCACCGTGTTGAGAAGATTGGGCCCGAAGTAACGAGGGTGCAACAGGATTTCATGCTCCAAGGAGATCTGGCGGCAAAAAGCAGAGAAAGCTTATACAATAAACTACGATGGAAACAAACCACGCATCCTTTATTTTATTTTTACGTCCCCGAATCTTCCTTCTGCTACTCCATCGTCCTGGCTTATCCAATAAACTACGATGGAAACAAACCATGCGCCCTTTATTTTTACGTCCCCGAATCTTCCTTCTGCTACCCCATCGTCCTGGCTTATCCAATAAACTACGATGGAAACAAACCATGCACCCTTTAATTTTGGTCCAAAAGGGCGATTTCCGGGCCCAAAACAGCCCAGAACCTGGTGACATTTTTTAAAAAACACGTTTATTATAGACAATGTCCTAAAAAAACATATTGGCCCAGAAAAAGCTGAGACTGACATGAACGTGTGGGTCAAACACGTGCAAAAAAGCGCTTCGTTGACACACGCGAACGCGCAAGCGGCTTTTTTCCACCGTTTCCCGCTCTATGCATCCCCTGCACACGCCCTGGCGCGTACACGCGTGACGCCGATCCACACGAACCCGCTAAACTCACGTGATAGAACATCCTCCCAAGCGGAGCGCTTCACGGCCGGATGGAACGTTGAGACAACCCCGCCCCTCCCGCCGCGGCTCGATGTTGCAACGTTCCTCTCCGCTGATTGGCTGAGCCGCGCAAGGTTTTCTAAAGCGCCTTAAAGGAACAGGCGCCGTTGTTTGCTCCACTGCGCAGGCGCAGTAGCGCTGAAACACACATTTAGGCCCGTTTGTGTCTTTATTTTCATTCAAAGCAAAGGGGACCCCTGAAAAAAAAAAAAAGGACGGGGACCCCCTAAATGGAAATAGGGGGATGACTGGACAGCCATTTGTCTGAAATGGCATAGGGTTTCTTGCCTGAGCAGGGGGTTGGACTAGATGACCTCCAAGGTCCCTTCCAACTCTTTTACTCTGCTATCCTTCCTTCCTTCCTTCCTTCATTACTGGAGGTTTTGAAGAAGAGACTGGACAGCCATTTGTCTGAAATGGCATAGGGTTTCTTGCCTGAGTAGGGGGTTGGACTAGATGACCTCCAAGATCCCTTCCAGCTCTGTTACAGGTAGTCCTTGGCATACAACAGTTCACTTAGTGACCATTCAAAGTTACTTTCAGCACTGGGTTAGAAACTATAAAATTGTGGAATGAGAGAGAGAGGAGAGAGAGAGAGAGTCAGTGACTTATGACCATTTTTCACATTTTACGACCATTGCCGCATCCCCAGGATCAAAATTCGGACACTTGCCAATTGACTCACATTGATGACGGTTGCTGTGTCCTGGGGCAGGGGGTCACATGATCCCCTTTGGGGACCTTCCGGCAAGCAAAGTCAACGGGAGAAGCCAGATCCACTCAACAACCGTGTTACTAATTTAACAACCGCAGTGATTCACGTCAGAACTGTGGCAAAGAAAGACGAAAAATGGGGCAAAGCTCACTTAAGACATGTCTCACGTAGCAACAGAAATGTAGGGCTCGACTGTGGTCGTAAGTGGAGGACTACCTGTGTTCTGTTGTTCTCTTACTGTATAGCCACCAGCACCCCTATTTTTAGATTTTTGCTTTATCTTTGCTTTTTATACGTAGGTTTTACTTTTTTAAAATATGACACTCGATGGAAGAATTCGAAGCTTCATGAAAGTTGAGATGAAGAGTTGGGGGGGCTCCTGTATAATCATTTAAAAGATAACCTTTAAGAGTAATTATACATTAATCTACAATATTATCATAATGATCATAATCATAGACTGATTGGAAGGACCCAGTAATCAGAATTGAATGCCAAACCCAGACAGAACTACTTGGTAACCTGGATGCAAAAAGCAAGAATAATAATAATCACCACCAAACTGGCTCTGAATTAAGTTAAGTGGAGTACAAAAAAGAACACAAGGCAGACGGCGTTAAAAATGTGTTTATTGTAAAAACTATTTTGACTTATCAAAAATAAATTCTGCCAAGCTACGTCCTTTCAAACTGCTTCTAGCACATTCAAATTAAGGCATGTAATTCCCCATTTCTAACACAATCCCTGAGTTTCCAAAACAGAAATTTCAAAAGATGTTAGCTATAAGAAAGAAAAAAAAAAAACGGACGATCCTTTTTGGCTTGCAGGAATCAGAGACGATCACTAGAGGTCAGCAGAGATTTAAAAAAACACTGGATTGTTTTGCCGCCCTCTTTTGAGCATGTAGATTATTGCAGCCCAGATCTAGGCAGGTTGCTATGTGCAGGTTACCAACCTGGCCACATGACACATTTCAGAGCAGTAAATCAGATGTGCTCTTTCAAGTTTCAAAAGGAAATAGATAATTTAAAGAATTTTTTTTTCAGGGGAAAAAGAAGACCACAAAGAGCAGGATTTGAATCCCTGGAAAGCAAAGTGGGCAATATTTTCCTCTCCTTATAGGCTTCCAGAGTTCCTCGCCATTGGCCAAGAAAAACCTGAAGGACCATAGATACACCATAGATTCCCATTGGATTTTGGACACGATGATTCTTGGATGGATGGATGATGGATGGATAGAGAGATAGATAGATGATGGAGAATGGACGGATGGATGAATAGATGATAGATGGATGAAGGATGATGGATGGGTGGATGGATGGATGGATTGATGTATAGATGATGGATGGATGTCGGAGAATGGATGGATTGGATGATGGATGGATAGATAGAGAATGATGGAGGGTGGATGGAGGGATGGATGGATAGAGAATGTATGTATGTCAAAGAATGGATGGATTGGATGATTGATAGATAGATAGATGATGGAGGATGGATGAATGAATAGTTGATGGATGGATGAATGGATGGTGGATGGATGGATGGATGGATGGATAAAGGATGGATGGATTGATTGATATATAGATGATGGATGGATGTCAGAGAATGGATGGATTGGATGATGGATGGATAGATGGGTGGATGGATGGATGGATTAATGGATTAATGCAGGTGTCCCCAATCCCTGGTCCATGGACCGGCACCGGGCCGCAACGTGCCAGCAACCGGTCCGCACAAACAAGCAAAGCCCCACCCACAGGATGCAGGAAGCACGTGAAACCACGCCCCCTCCGGTCCATGGAAAAACCTCTCTCCCCAGATTGGGGGCCTCTGGATTAATGGATGATGGATGGATGATGGATTATGGATGGATGCATGCATGATAGATGGATGATGGAGGGATGGACGAAGGAGGGAGGGAGCTCCATCAAATTGTCCCCCTCTTAGTGACCACATAGGCAGAATTTTCTCCATGATGATCTATCCCTAACTTGGTCCTTCAGCTCCTGAAGCTTCTCAGAGGCCCAAACCATGATCAGCAACGGCAGTTCCCCCTCTGTTCCGGGGAGAGATTGTGAACACGGAGAGACAACACTTGAAGAATGCAAAAGCAGACCGACATTTTCCGAAAAGCACACCAAGAGCTTTTAAACCACAGGAAGGTCTTGGTGACCAAGACTTAGGGCCATTACTTCAGGCGGGGCTCCTCACTCTCTTAACCTCCTCCCACATTGCGAGTGGCTTTCGAGGGGGAGAGTGTATGCAGAGTCCCAGTCTCGAACGAAAACGTCCACCAGCTGCTGGCGCAAAGTGTAACGTTGGGCTTCGGGAGCAACGTGGCTTTGATTGACGATCAGCCCCACTCCGGTGGTGTGGAGAAAATAATCTTCAGACCAGTTAGAAGTTCCTGAAGATGGAGAACAAAAGAAGGAAATCCCGTGTATGTGTCATTTGCAGCCCACTTCAGCTAAGCAAGGAGAGAAGCAACCT